ACCTGAGCAATTTTCTCAGCACCTTGAGCTGGACGAGGGCAGCCTGCGCTGCGAAGCCGACGCGGGGCGCAGCAGTTTGAAACGAGGAGCAAGAGCAGCTCCCCGAGGCAGCTCAGGCCCGCGGCCCGGACGCCGTGAGGACAGACCTGCCCCAAAGCACCCGAGAATCCCCTTGTCCTTCCACGGGCCTCCAACCCAGCGTGGGAGCTGGCGCTTGAAGGGATGGTGAAAGGTCTCCTCTTCGTCCATCCTCTTCACAAACAGCTTTACGGGCTTTTCTGCATACGATCCGAAAGGGACCGCGCGAGTCCAGCCCGAGCGGCACCACTGTTACCGAGAAATCCCTTTGTCCATTAAAAATATTACACCGACCCAGGCGGCGTGAAACTCGTCTTTGTGCAAAAGCCTGCTTTTTAAGTTAAGCCTTTTTGAAGTTTAAGCCAAAAGGGTTTAACAAGAAGCCCTACCATTTGAGACGGTTTTGGCCCTAATTTTAATACACTTGGAGGTGGAAGGCAGGCGCTCAGACGCCTCGGAAAATCCCGGCTTTCCGCAGGCGGTTTGACTGACTAACGTGCAATTAAACCTCCTTGATCCGGCGTCACCAGGGACCTGCTGCATCGCCCTCGCTCCAGGTCGGATCTGCCCGGCCTCCGGCACAGGGGTTTGGCTGCTCCCCCCATCGTCACCCATTCTGTCCCCATTGAGGGGTGACAGCCGGAGCTGGACACCGTTCTGGAGGACACACAGGACTTCACGGCCGTCTCCACCCTTCTCCACCTCAGCACCTCACGTGTGACCGTCCCAGGGACCTGCTGCATCGCCCTCGCTCCAGGTCGGATCTGCCCGGCCTCCGGCACAGGGGTTTGGCTGCTCCCCCCATCGTCACCCATTCTGTCCCCATTGAGGGGTGACAGCCGGAGCTGGACACCGTTCTGGAGGACACACAGGACTTCACGGCCGTCTCCACCCTTCTCCACCTCAGCACCTCACGTGTGACCGTCGCCGCTGCGCACACAGGCTCCAGCTCTGCTGCCATCAATGAATTTCCCCTCATTCACCTTCGGTTAGCAACCTAAATCAGCAAATCACTCCACGGCTAAGCGTCCCCGGGGAAAACACCACTCAAGTGGCAGAACTGTGAACTGGCCAGAGCTGCTTTTGGGAAATATCTTAATAGGTTTTTCAAACTATAAATAGCTCTTAAGAAAACTAGACACACAGTTCCCCTGCCCTCCCAACCACGCGCAAGAGCAGGAGTTAAGTCCTTCACATTTTTCTGCCGACAAGGCCAGGTTTCTTCCCAAGGGCCCTGCACCACCTCGGCCAGCGGTGTCTGAGATGCACGACTCTCGGAGGTGAAAATTAAAGACGTTCTATCAGTTCAATTATGACTTAAAACTCCTCTCCAGCCTTAGGAGGAATCTATGGCCCGTGTACACAATGTGAGACTCTCCGATACAGCATCGGAGTACTTTCAAGGAAGGCTAGGGGTGCAAGAGGTCAGATGTAATTAATTTTTCACCGTAATAATAATGGTGGTAATAATAATAAATAATAATAATAATACTTAATTTGGTCGAACTCAAACTCGCTGTGCCAGGAACAGGTCACGATCCACAAATCTTCAGCGACGCTGTTTAAAACACGGTCCCTCACGTTCCGTTTCTCAGAAACATCATCACTGACGATGGTTTTCTGAGCTCCGGCCAGGCGTGCAGCTCGCGCCGCAAACCGCCCTTCCCTAAGCGAAGAGAGACACTGCACCAAAACTGCCCGTTCTCTGCCTTGGCAGCTGAAGACAGGAGACAGATTTTTGAAAAAAAAATTATTTTATTGGAACTCATCTGAACATCAGATATACCTGGTGTTGGTTAGCAAGAACCGTTTGTACATTTGATATTGATGGTGCCAAAAAACCCAAACAGTGACTGACTGGATGAGATGGAAATTTAAAAAGAAAAGGAAAAAGAAAATGTCAGAGAGGTTAAAGTGTGAACAGAAAGCAGAAAAATCAGCCAGTCTAAGATTCAGTGTGAAGGCAAAATATTTCCTGACAAAACAGAATCCTTTTACAAAATATAAATTTTGTAAGAAAAACGTGGAGAGGGAGAGAGAAAGAGAGACAGAGGGGAAAGGAAAAATAAAGATCAGCAGGACAGAGATGCAGAAGCTTACACTGCCCAAATGGCATTAAAACCTAGCTAGTAACCTCACCATAAAATGAAACATGCTGGAATACACCGTGCTCCACCCCCCACGTATATGACTTTGGAACAGGAACGAGGAAGCTCCCCAGCAAGCGCTGCACTAGGTTATCCCAGAAGGGCCAAGCTGTCTCACATCAGGTATCCAAAAAAAAAAAAAAACCCCAAACACTAACGCAGCAGAGGTAAATAACGAGTCTGATCAGCGCCCAGGGCAGCGGCTCGCCTCCCCGCCGGATGAGGTTTGGATCCCGCAGGGAGGCGAGGACTCGGGGAACGCCTGCTCACCTGTTCTTCCTACCAATGCGGTGGGGGGGGAGGGATAAAACATTTAAAATCTAGTCTATTTTAAAACAATAGCATGCAATACAGGCCTCCAGGGGAAACCTGCGCTGTTCCCTTTATTAGAAACTGGCCTAATGGTCTAGACAGTGGCTGCAGCCGTCTCGAGGTTTTTGGCTGCGCAGGGTGGGTCTGGGCTGGCGCAGCACAATGACAATTCTGAAGCAGGTTCCTCGGGTGCGAAAACCTTCAGGAAAATCATTGTGGAGCTGCTTTCGAGGGGATCTGAGGCCTTAAGATTTAAAAATAAACCAGCAGTCTGTACATTTTGGGTTTTTTTTTTCTTTTTGGTTCAGTACAAATGGAATAAACTTGGCTGCTTATACACCGTCAGTAAGTCTCAGATTTCAGAGCAGAGGGAGAGATGAAACAAACTTGTTTTGGGCACCTACTGGTAACAAAACTTTGTCCCTGCTTAACTCTCTGGCATCCCTCAGGAAGTGGAAAGCACATGTTTAGGTAGTGTAAGCCTTTTTCCTTTTATTTAGAATACCCTCTTTGTTTAAACAATATCCCCCCCCCCAGATACAAAGTTCGACCAGTAAAGATTACATGGAAACTGGAACACGCATCGTATGGAATACAAGATGCACTGGATGAGGAAGTTTAAAAACTTTCCGAGCGAAAAGTAGAACAAAGAAAAAAAAAAAGTCTCCTAACATTTTCCCAAAGGTTTCACTCTCCTGTCACACACACTCTCCAAATGACAGCTAGCAAATTCAACTCTGCAAAAAGAAAAACAGAGCCAGGTCAATCGAGAGGAGAGAAAAAACAAACCTCAAGGACACAAACCGCACCTTGGCCTGGGAGGGGCGATAGGTCCGGAGGAGCTGCGACCTCCGGCTCCTGCCCCCACTCACCTATGTTAGCTTCTTGGCTTTGTTGTAGAGCGAATCCACTACTTTACTCATATTCTGAATAGTCTCGAGGGCAGCTTCGTAAGTTTTGTCTACGGGGGGTTCGTCGAAGATGATCAGGACTCCCTCGCCTTGGTCAAGGATGCCTGTGGACACAAAGCTGCGGTTACCGGTGTAACGCTTGACAGATCCCATCTTCCAGAGAGCAGGAATTCAGGGATCCACCCAGCCAGTCGGCTGTGTTGGGTTTGGAAGGGGCTACGGTGTTGTACTAGATTGGTTGACTGATTTTTGTCAGGACACAAACAAAAGCGTCCTGGAGAGGGCCCGAAAAGACACCCAGGAGATGCTTATGCCGGCACAGCCCCAAACAGCTACCTTCCTCCTGGAGGTCCCTGCGCCCAGCAGGATGGCTCAGCGCAACGCTGGAGCAAGTAAAAAAAACCCCAAAAACCCATTTTATAATTAAATGTCCAGGTGCCAGATGGGCACTGCAGCTGGGTTCTGTAATTTCTGAGCTATTCTCTAACCAATATGTTTCTTTTAGCCATTCATCTTGCTCAGCTGGACCAAGGCGCCTTTCTAAACCGACGCTAGGGACAACGTGAACAAGAGCAGAGCTGTTTCCTTGAGGGCTTATTAGAGAAGCGGCCTCCTGTGGTCCCAGACAACCCCAAACCGATCAGTTGTGCTGTGGGGGTGCCCCCCACCCACCCACAAAATCCTCCGGACATAAATTATCCAGAAAAGGTGACCAGATACTCCAAGCTCCAAGGCAGGAGCACATCTTTGCTAGAAAACCCACCAGCGGGTCTCACAAATGTCCTTGGATGCAGCAAGTAAGGACTTAACAGCGGTTTCTGATTTGTGAGAAATTAAGCCTCGAGCTTAACGAAGGCAGATGGAAGGAGCAATAGGAACAGCCTTCACGACAAGAGGCAGAGTAACGAATAAACCCACCGCTCGCTACTCTTCCATAGCGCCTGTGAACGTACACGTCCACTTTCTGAAGTGGAGCAGAGCAGTCCAAGGAGGACGCTCAAGGCTCGAAGGTGCAGCAATAAAGAGGAGTTTACCCACAGCTTGCTTACGCACGACCTGGCCTCGGGGAGCAAGGTAGTCAGGACTGAAGGATGCAGAGACTCACCATGAAATTTCTTGTCCAAGATCATCTGTGACAGTTTCCTTTCTACCTCAGCCTGAAATTGAAGCAGAAAAATTAAAAGTCTCCCGGAACTATATAAAGAAATGCAAATTTTACTACTCCACACATGACAGCCCTGACAGGATATGAGCACTGCTTAAAAGCAGCTATTTTATCACGGAACACGATGTCAGGACAGATCTCTCCTTGCACGCTGCTTTGATACAACCATACGCTTTAGAAATTAAGCGGTAGCTTTTAATGACGAGAGCACCAGGATGCCTCGCCCTCCTGTTCCACAAAACACGGTGTATCATTTCATACAGGCATTACTCATTAGGCGAATTGGAGCATTCTAGTTTGGTTCAGCAAATATTTAGTCAAGCGTTGGCGAAGCTTCGTTTAAGCCAGTTGGTACGGAGCTGATGTCCTGCCCAGCGCCAGGCAAGGCCTCACAGGAGTCAGCTCCTCTTCTGCTCTTTGGACAGAGGACACACGGCTGCAGTCAAACAACTGCAGTTCAGCTTTTACTCAAACTATGAAGTACGTGTTAAACACCAGGAACAGACTGCACAGACAGAAGAGGGGGACAGATGATGTAACGACCATAAAGGCTGAGCTCGGTACACTTCCAAACCTCTGGCCTTAATACAGGACAAAAGCACTTTGGGATGCAACCGGCTGGGACTACAGCGGATTTTCCTAAAACTTAATCTGTTTGGGATTATCTGTAAAGCAGCTATTGCAACAGTCAATGTGACATATGCATCCCTAATGAAACTTCACAGTGATTAGCTGGACCCTGTATCATAAGGGTCTAAAAGATTCCTCTGGGCACGCTCAGGAGGATTAAATGCAGGTCGATGGGGATGACTGAGCTGGTCACGATATAAACTGAGGAAAATCTGTCTCCACTAAAAACCAAGTGCTAACGCAGGGAGTAAAACCCGTGCGAAGGAAGGCGAAGTTAGAGCCAAGTCTAGTGCAGAGGAAGCCAGTCCGATGCCTCCTGGAAAGTGGCTGCGTTAAAGTTCTGACCTGTCAGGTTGAACAGCCTACATTTACTTCCAGTGGCAAACACCATTTGACCTCCATTCCTTCACCCTCTTAAGACGCACCCCTGATTTCCAGTTATGTTCTTACCTTTGAGAGCTTGATGAGGCCGGATATGTGTTCAATCTATAAGAGAGACCAACAGCGTTAAGTAAATCTTTAGCTGTACTTTTGACACGCAACGGGAGGCGTGGGGCTCTTCCAAGGAACAGCTCAAGGGCCTGTAAACGCTCTGGCCTAAAAACCTCCAATGGCTTTCTGCGCTTTGCCGCTTCGCGTCCTTCAGATTCCATATCCAATTTTAACTGAAGATGAATTAGACCCCTAAAGCCATTTCACTCTGAAACACGAAATAACATTTCTTCTCCAAGAGTACTGCAGCTTTACCCACTCCCTGTCAGAGCCCTTAACAGCCGAACACTGTTACCTTCAGCGCTAAAAGCACGTCTGCATTTCAGCATGTGCAAGTGAAACAGGTGGAGAGGGCAATGACCCTGGAACTCAGATTTCCAAAGTTCCTCTCCTTATTTTTCAGCTGAACGTGATGAACCCCGAGCTCTGGAAGTGCCGAGCAGCTCTAAGGCGTATTCCAGATGGGATAAAATCCCTCACCCTGCAGCAGCAGGGGACAGAGGTACCAGCATGTTGGTGCGCTTGCTGGAAACATTTACCTGTACTCTGGAGAAGGGTTCGATGACTCTGATCAGATTCTGTTCCAATAAATTATCATAGAGCTTAGCCAAGTGAGTGTTTATGATGGGGTCGTCCCTGAGCTCCACCTTATAGTCTGTCAGCGCCTGCGGAAGACACAGTGGGAACAAATAATTCGGGGAGCAACAGGTCTCCTGTCTTCAAGGCCCTCTGAGTATGAAACAGTCTTCCCTCCCTGCCCAGCAAAGTATCAGTGGTTAACCCAAGCCCGTAACTTAGCTAAAAGGCCAGGAGGTGACGACAGCCTAGCAGCATTTCTAGCAGCGTGCAGCAAGCATCCTTCATCTTTACACCACTGGAGCGCTCTGGTTTACGCTCGGGAGACCGCATGGCAGGATTGTTTCCCGACAGGGGAATCCTCACTTATCTCTGTGGTGTTCTTGCTGAAGCCAGGAAGAATTTTAGGAAGACATACCTCCCAGTGAACAGCACCAGAAGCACAGAAAACTGCTTCTGAGTTCACTCTCCAAAAATAGGAAAAAACTAGTTTCAAGCATGCTGTGAAAACCAAACCAGCTGATTATTGTGGGGTATTTGCTTGATGCACTGTTGCTTTCTATGAATGTTTTTACGGTTGCCTGCTGTGGGATGCAGCAGCTTCTAGACCTTCCAAAACTGGCATTTCTGAATGTTTTTTCCAGCCAGGCCCCATTTTTGCTCTGTCTCCTGACTCACCTTTTCAAAATCTGCCAGTGATCGGTTCTTACTGGCCTGTGCCACACATTTTAGTGCTTCTGTCTGCAGAGAAAGAAAACGAGAGTAGGTTATTTTTCTGGATTGTCCTCTCAGTGCTATTACGCCAACTGTGCAGTATACTGAAAACATGCTTAAGCAGCAAAATGGGGATGTTCCTTTTGCTACAAAGCCATGTCAGTGTTACTGCCACACAGGCAGAGTAAGAACAGCTGCTAATAAGAACATGCAGAACAGCTGCAGAACACAGCATGAAATCAGCTTCACGGCCACAAAGAACTCAAGTTTTGCGAAGTCTGAGAATACCAGCTGCAGTTCCTATCAGGTTGCAGGTTGGAAGCAAGTTTGATGCCATTTTTTAAGGAAAGTGTATGTTTTGGCACTTGCTTAATGAACATGGCTGTTTTCAGCCCTTAAAGCTGTGTTTCTCCTCTTCGGCATGCCACACTGCCTCTGCTGAGCAATAGAAGCATGGCAGATGTCCTACAGATACGCTATCATGGGCAGCATCAGAAAACGTTTCTTGTCTACCCCACAGTTGCTGAAACAAAGCAAAGACTCAGACACAATCACCGTATTTACACTACACAGATCGTAACACCGCTAGAAGAACAGTTTCCAAGCGGTGAGAGGCACAAGTGCACGAGACAAGGACGACAGCCAGCCCGGTGGCCACCGTGCACAAGGCCCAGGCTTCTGCTACCATCTCTCCCACCAGGCTGTCCCCAAGGTCCCACTTTCTCTCTGCTCCCTAAGCTCAGTTTCCACAGTTGCTGTAGGAACTCGTGATCACTGCTGTCTCAGGAGGACAGTGCGGAGAACAGCTGAGATTTCTTCCACCGTACGCTGCCCTCATGCTCTGAAAAGGAGCTTCCAACCCAGCTGCCGCTCAGGGAAAGGGATGAAACAGGACCAGGGCTGCTCTTCGTGATCCAGCAGGGATAACGCAGGGATATCCCCGCTCCAGACTCTTTTCTACGCACTTACGCTCACTACTAAATACCTTCCCCAGTCCTCCCCGTGAGGTAGGCGAGTATTAGCTCCTGTGTCTCGTGGCTGATCAAAGCCACTGAGGGCATCGGTGTGTACGCCTGGCTCAGACCCTGGCACACTTGGCTTTTGGCCTCGTACTTCATATAAGCATCCCTGGAATTAATACGGGGGTGGCGTTCACAGACTGGCAAGTTAACATGTTAGAATAAACAGTTGATTTAACAACTCCCCAGCTGCTTGGCTTCCACCTCACAGTCATCTAGGTCTCAAGCTGCTCAGCTACACTGCTACAAATGGATTTTCAGGACTTGCTACCACACAAGTAAAAACAATGAATAACTTGCATTTAAATACATCAGATCTGCGGCTGCCGAGCAGTCGGTAAGGGTTGAGACATGAGTACCTTACAGCATTAGGTATTTAGCAGTTCATGAAGAAAGCAGGGAGGAGAAAGACAGAAAAAATGAAGCGAGCAGGCCAGATTCTCCGGTGGTGAAAAATCACTGTACTGCCTTTGAAAGCAACTGACTTATGGTAATCACTTATGGGAATTTAATCAGTTCTGGATCTCGTTCAGGACACTCAGAAGTGAAGGGTATTTTGGTATGAAAAGACAAAAGCATTTGACAAAAAGAACAATATTCTCAGAGATAACAGGAAGATAGAAAGGATTAAGTATCTATACCTGTCTTCCTGCATACCGCAGAGCAAGCTTTCCACTCACTAACGCTTGCACATCTTCTGGGCTAGAGAGGGGAGGGAAGGGAAGGGAAGAGAGCATTTATTCAACAACACAGTCAGCTTAAATCTAAGCGTGCCTCAGAAATTCCCAATTTATAGCAAATTACTACAGTTCAAATAACATTGTATCGGAAGCATCGATTAGGTCATAAATAAAGACAAACAGTAAAGCTTGTCTGCTTGAGTTTTCATTAGTTTAGTCTTATTAATGAAAAGCCTTTCCCATTTAAACGTAGAAGTGTTCTTCACCGAACCATTTGCCACGTACATGTTCAGCATGATTTTGCACAGCAACATGTATTTCAGTGCAGTGATGGCTTTTGGGTTGTCAATTGAATCATATCCCTCAAACGCCTCGTAAAAATATGAATAGGCCGTTTTCCAGTCCTTCTCTTCTGCTGCATGGATAATACCTGGTGAGAGGAACAAAGAGGCAGGCATCAGAGTTAATTCTGAACGCGACTGCAAGAGGACAGAACGATTTGTCTGCCCAGTGTTTTATCTGGTACTTCAATAAAGAGAATCCTTTCCTTATGTGTCCCCCTTCACCTTATCTCTAGCAGAACATCCATGCCCTCTTAAGGGGACATGTTAAGACAGACAAGTTTGGGGTGCTTCAGGTGAGTGCCTGTAATTTAGGTCAGGACCAACGTTACGGTTACACTAACGTGGTGTAATGCTGTAGTGCCTAGGGAGGTTACGGACCCTGCAGCACTGGAGGTTGTCAAAAAACAGGCTGAAAAAACATGTCGAACAATGTAATTATAGCTGATCCTGTCTTGAGGCAGCTGGGCAGACTGGTAGGTATCCTGAGGTCCCACCTCGCATCATTTTCTGTGATTCACTCAGGAAGGAACAAATACCAGTCAACTGATGCATCGTGACGAGTCCTAAACTCTTCCCTGCTCCTGAAGGGCTTTACCTGACTGCATGTCTAACGCTGCTTGCAGCTTAGGTGGACAGTAGATTGCGTTGGCTGTAGTCCGTGCAGAGGTTAAGGCTGCTCTTGCTTTTGGCAGATTGCTCAGGGCATGGTAAGTCTTACTTTCTAACAGCTGCACTTCCACCAGCAATGCCTTGTCGTCCATCTTTTTCAATTCCCGAAGAAGCTGGGAGCCTAGCAGCGAGGAAGAACAAGAACCTTTGTAACCAGCTCTGCATCTGCTACCAACACAAACCAAGTCTGTCCAGACGACACCCTTCTTCCCCCACAGCGGTGCTGGCTTTAAGGAAGGGAGGCTAGGCACACACAACCTGTTCTTCCAAGAAGGAACAAAGGAGAGGAAATAATATAGGTCAGTGTCAGTCCACAGCTGGAGAAGAATGAACCGGTTTTGTGTTAGAGGTGGAAGAGGGCAGTGAGAATACCTGGGTGTGCGGACAGCGTGTCTCTGCCACCTCATCGTGGGCAGCAGACACTCAGCAGAAAGTCAAGGAAGGGTCGTGCAGCTCAGATGGTCACTCTGATACCCCTTCCCCAGATGACAGTCTGATTTACCACTCACATTCAGAGCTCCGAGCAAACCTGAAGTACTGCCTGTTCCTGCATCATTCCCCTAGGGTGAGACCTGAGGATTTTCAAGCAACTCTTAAGAATACAGGATGAGGAAGGAATGTTTTAAGCACAAGACATCTACAGATCAAGTTCAGGAGGTAGGAACGGACAGTCTAAGAAATGCCTAGATAAACTGTCACATCAAAGCCTTGTGAGGCAAGAACCAACCTTAGAAGAAACGTCTCCCCTTCTTTCCCCCACCGTGAACTAAAGTGCTAACTTACGGCAAGTGGCGATGAGAACCTCAGCCTCACTTGCTGTGCTCAGAAGCTGAAAACCACAGCTGAAACTGCCTAACTAGGTGGAAGAGAATGGATTCTCTCGTCCCATAGAGACTCTCTGCCTGCACCTACTCCTCGCAGCCACAGACATAACCATGTCTTGGCCAGCCACGTAGAAATGCTAGCGCACAACACCAACATCTCGATAAAGCTTTCAGAGAGGCTGTCCGTAGGTACAGGCCTTCACAACTCCCTAAGCTGTATCATCATCGTCCAAGTGATTAAGTTAATTAAGCATAGCTTTGGAGCATGGACTCTGATCAGTTTAAACCTGAGTTCACTACATATCCATCTGCAAACTAACTCTAACTTGATACGAATTCCATGTATCAGAGCACATAACTTTATATTCTGACCAGATACAAGTCACCTAGGTCACTCTGGACATGACACATGCTCTTGCCATCACACTGTTTAAGAAGTGACAGGTCCCTGGTGAGGCATCGCCACTGCCCGGGTGAGCGCTTCTGTCCGTGTCAGTGCAGTCATCCCTCAGCCCCGCTCACAGCCATGCCGTGAGCTGGCGGAGCGGTCTGTACAAATATCCTTTAGCCAGCTTAAAGCTCATCTTACGTGACTGCAGTCATTTGCAAAATGAGCACTTGTAAAGCACCAAAGGGAGTTGGGCCATGTAAGATGACCTGCTTTACTCCGCTTTGTAGCGGAGTAGGAGAGTTCACATGGTTAATTACCATATCTCAGGTGGTGCAGAAGCAAATTCTTAAAGCTGTTACACTACTTCACAAGAGCTTGTCTAATTACATCCTTAGAGGTTTGCCGTTTCCTGGCATTACTACTGTTTTTATTGAGGCCGTATTTGAGCAAACCGAAGAGAGCTGGTTTCTCCCTTCAGCCTCTCTGACCACAGCAGTATACGCTACGTACGTTCCAGCAGGAGCCAAACCTGAGGGCCTTCAACTGGATACAGCTCCTCTTCGCTTCCACAATTATTTGAAGTGAACAAATAGATCTCTAAAAGCTTTTATCACCAAGCTGTAGCAAAAGATGGCAGATCTGGTACAGCACTGAGAAATTAATGCCCAAGTCCTACAAGACTTATCAAAGAACGCGGTGTAGTCGATCATTTCCCTCATCAGCCTCAAGACTAATTTCAAAGTGAAGAACTACTACCACCACCTAGTGGGAGACTTACCCAGCTGCAGCGCCTCTTGGTACCTCTTGGTATCGAAGTACAGAGAGACCAACCTCGCCTGGAGAACAGAAAAGGAACTGCTGTGAGGAAAGCCAGAGAAAGGTGGTACAGGTTTGTGTTGTAAAATTAAACTTCATATTCCTATCTGCACAGACATCACTAAATTAGTTTGTATTCATTACATCATATGGTTCAATTCTGCAAGATCTATTATTTGGAATATTGGCCAGATCTAAACACAATGGGTAAAATCCTGCCTGTTCAAGGAGAGTCACTCACTTTAGTGTGACTGTTACCGCCTGTCTGTTGCACGTACAAAGATCTGGACAGCACACTACAAGTTCTCTGCTTTTATAGGTATTAAATCTGATAAAGGGAAGACGCTATTGCACAGGTAGGGATGCGTACCTCCAGAGCCTGGCGTAGGAAAGTCCTCTTCTCTGATTTGGCCCACTCAATACACTCTAAACACAGGTCAACCTTAAAGGGAGCAGAAAGAAATTTGTAAAGCCTTCTGCTGCCCCTCTTTAAAACAGCAGTATGGTTCAATCATTTCCTACAAAGCAACAAAACCACAAAGCCTGAATCTCCACCATGTAGGTTAAGAAAATTAATCAGTCCTGCCTGAACAGCAGCATTGCTAAACATCAAATTGGCTTTACTTTAAAATGAGCCCAGAGATTAGCCTTCATCATCAGTGCCCACCCCAAACGTCTCCGAATGACGCCTTTAATGTTACCAGGGTAAAGTATAGTTCACCATTGATGAGAACTGCAGCTCGACAGCAAGGTGAAGCGACTTCTCTTCAACAAGGACTCACCGGTAACCGCACGCGATACACTTTAGCCTCAGGTTGCATCGTGTTGACACCAGAGTTTAAAGTCACAGAAGTGTTGCACAACATTATGTAGAATAGCTAAGCTGTGCTACATATTTTCATATTCTGTTTCCCAGCTTAACTTCCTGCACTTTGTAACAAGTCACAGTATTATACTACTTATAGTACAATATTGCAAGAGAAAGTAAAGTTCTCTTTAAGTAAAGAAGGCAAACTAAGGTTTAGTTTAAGCCTTAGCTGTCACGAAACAACCCCAACAGACCATCTACTTTGATTCTTCTTCTAATGCATTTGGCTTCCAATAACTTTTTCTGACCACCAGGGACAATCCTCCCACACTGGAATATGAAAATAAAGATTTGGCTTCCAAAGTTTCACCAGTAAAAATTACTGCTGAAATCCTAACAGCATTTCTTAACCAGCTGTGTTTTGTTTGAAATTAAAACATCTGGGTACACAAGAACTGATTCTGCCTTGGGGCAAGGAACGAACTAGAAGACTTTGAGGTCCCTTCCAGTGTGTTTTGCACCATTTCGTTCAGCCACAGAGAAAAATGTATTTTCCATTGCTCTAGAAAGAAAGGAAAATGAAGTGCACGTGCTTTAGGGCCTAAATATGTCAGACCACGTGTGTCCTTTAGCAGTATAAACCAACAGAGGTGTTGGGCTCCACGGTTCACATCGGAGCCAGGTGCCAGGAGCCAGTCAGTAAGTGACACTGGATGTTTTATCTATCGCTTCAGAGCAAAGGAACCCAAAGGCTTCTCACATTTTAGGACTGCTGAGATTCTCTTGATGAATAAAGCAGTTGTGTTCCACCCCAACTAGCAGAGGGTGTCGATTCAGTACTGGCCAATGATATACAATAAGTCATCCTGAGGT